AAGCTCACCTGGTAGTGTGTGCCTCCTCCACAGCAACTCGGGTTCAAGTCCAACCCATGGCCCTTTGCTGCATGTTGTCCCCTGTCTCTCCCCATTTCATGTCTTCCTATTGAAGAAAAACATTTCCATTTCCATCCATTTTCATCTGCTTATCAGGGGCTGGGTCGCAGGGGTAGCAGGCTGAGCAAAGTACTCTAGATGTCCCGCTCCACAGCAACGCTTCAGGTTCAGGTTCTGGGTCAAGCAAAGGCCTTCTACCAGTTAGACATGTGTGGGAAAACCTCTAACAGGAGGCATCCTGATCAGATGCACGAACCACCTCAATTGGCTCCTTTCAATGCTTAGGGGTAGCAAATCTAGTCCGAGCTCCCTCCAGATGTCTGAGCTCCTCACTCTGTCTCTAAGGCTGAGCCCAGCCATTCTCTAGAGGAAACTCATTTTGGCCGCTTGTATCCACAATCTCATTCTTTTGATCAGTACCCAGAACTCATGACCATAGGTGAGGGTTGGGACATAGAGGGACCAGTAAATCAAAAGCTTTAACTTCTGGCTCAGCTTCCTCTTCACCACAACAGTCTAGCGCAGCGGCCGCATCCCTGTAAATGCTGCACAAAACTGCCTGTCCATTGAAGAGAGCCAGAAATATATGGAACAAACAAGATGGCACTCAGCTTGTGGTGCTGAAAGGGCCAAAACGATACATTTAAAAAACTCAACAGCAATGTCTCTTTACAGAAATCATGACCCGGTTACTCAAGATAATCCACAGACCTTGTGAGCAGTCTCATGTAGGAACTATCTTTCTACTGAACTACATCCACCAACTGTATCATCATGCTTACCTAGCACCACTGAGCTAGATAAAGTTACACCTCACCCAAGTAGGACGCCATGAATGTTGACATCTTGCACTGTCACAAACACTTTCCCCTCGTCCATGAGTAGATGTACAGTTGCACACAACTACAGTTTGCAGGAATAATTCAGTAGGAATAAATAGTTCCTACGTGAAACTGATCACAACAAGGTCTGTGGATTATCTTGAGCAACCAGGGGTCTCCTTTATAAAACAGTTCGTAGGATCCGTACTAGAAATGTACATATGGACAAAGGCCAGAAATGAACCTTGTACACAATTTCTACAATCAGGCTTCCACCTCACCATCTGTGTCGCCAATATCCCTTCTCCAAAACGTTGGTCAGCCTGGGTCAAAGTTTCTCCCATCAAGTCTGTATTTAGACATCACAGCTTTTGCGTGGGATGTGGCGTACGCCTCTGTTAGGTCTTGTTTTGTGCATACACAGTGTTTATAAATAGGTCCGTTTCCACTGCAGGAACTTCGGGGTAATTTTACGGGGCCGGGGCCGTTGGTGCGTGTCTCCACCACAGGAGCCACCACCGAAGGACAGAGTTCCGGAACTTTTACAGGGGCTAAACAAGTCCCTGCCTCGGAGTAGGTACTCAGAACGGCCCCAAAAAACTCCTGGGTGGGGCTTGGGGTTTACTTGGTGCTGATTGGGTATACTCAAAACGGGATGTGACGTCAAAAGAAAGCGACAAAATAGCTGCGTCGCCCAATGATTACGTCACATCCAGAGCCCGGTAACTTTACAGGAACCTTTGTCCAACTCCACCCTCTCAGTGGAGACATGGCGGTTGAGAGGGCCGAGCGAGAGGACGTTCCTGTAAAGTTCCTGCCCCCCAAATAGTACCAGGAACTTCTGCAGTGGAAACGGGCCTAATGAGACCCCTGGTCATGATTTCTGGAAAGAGACATTGAGATATACAGCGCTTTGAACACCACAAGTTGAGTGCCATCTAGTTCAATTATATAAGAGAGAAGGCAGACATCTCTACGGCTGATACTGACACTTGACCAGTCACACCAAAACAATCAAGATTGATAACTAGCACTACAGTAAGAGCCAAAATATGTTCATCTGATTTTGGGGTGAACTGTCCCTGTATGGTGATGCAGTGGTTAGCATTGTCACCTCACAGCAAGAGAGGGTACCTGGTTCGAACCCGGGGTGGGGGAGCCCTTCTGTGTGAAGTTTGCATGTTCTCCCCATGTCAGCGTGGGTTTTCTCGGGGTGCTCCAGCTTCCTCCCACAGTCCAAAGACATGCAGGTTAATTGGTGACTCTAAATTGCAGTAGGTGTGAATGTGAGTGTGAGTGGTTGTCTGTCTCTATGTGTCAGCCCTGCGATAGTCTGGTGACCTGACCAGGGTTTGAATGAGCAGCATTTCAACTCCTTTTCTCTCTGTCTGTAATATACAGTTGACAAGTCGGACTACATGGTTGGCAGCTATGGGCCCAGACCAGACGAGGCATATGAGTTCCTCACAACAATGGAGGAGGCACCCAAAGGGATGCTGGCCCGCGGCACCTACACCATCAAGTCCAAGTTCACTGATGACGACAAACACAACCATCTCTCCTGGGAGTGGAACCTCAATATCAAGAAAGACTGGAAAGACTGATTCCCCCTTCGACATCCTCCACCGCCATCTTCCCCTGCTTTGTCCCTCTCTCTTTTCTCTTCTCTGCTGTCATTCCATTATTTCTGTCTGGATTATGTGTCGATTGAAGCTTTTGCTCTCTCCGTCCATTGACAACTTGTTCTTACGGTTTCCTTTTCTAAATTCTAATCACGTCATCATTCCTCCTGTCGTAACACTTTCACCTTGTTTTCGCCCGCCCCTTTCTGTTAAGTATTAAATCTTAAAAATGGAGAAAGCAAACAATGTGTACAATCCAGATTTTGCGGTTCGTTTATAAAAGAAAAAATAAGTTTAAAAAAAAAAAGTCTGTTAACTGCTCTTGGAAGTGATCAAATATGTGATAGCGCTTTCTTGTCCTCCCCGTTTTCATCCCTCTTTATTTTTCCAGATTGTTTTGTACTATTACCGTGATCTGCCTTGAAAGCATTGTGCAGGAAGCAGTAGTGCTGTATGTATGTGGCTGCTGTACGGTCACTGAGCAATCATTGCTGGACACAACTCTTGGACGCAGCCCTCCTAAAGCCTTTGAGCAGATTATTTGTACCAGGGTCTTGGCAAATTATTTGGAATTTAGGCCACGTCTTTTTTCCAGATGATTTAGCTCCCTGCAAAGTCTACTGAGAGAACAGGGGAAACAAATATTACCTCTAACCCATTGTGACCCCTGGCTGTAGGTGTGGCTGTTCCTCTCCTGATCAGGGTATTCTGGCAGTGTTTTAGCAGCCATGTGGCCTTAACGAGAACCCTTAGGAAAAAAATAGACAACCTAATTGAGCCATTTGCCTTCAGATTGTATTTGCCAGACCATCATGTGAGCCTGTTTTTAACAATACTTGTAATACACGGACAGGGAATCAGGACTAAGGACTTTTAACACCTTTTATTTCAGGTTTGATGATCTGTAAAAGCCATTACATGTTGATGTCCATCATATTAACTCTATTTACAAGCATATTTTTCATCACTGTAGTTTTCTAAAGATGAGTTCAATTAACTTTTAGACAATATACAACAACTGTAAATATGAGTCCAGGTTGTGATAATGGCTTCCTGTCACCCAGTATCCTCTCTAGTCCCTGAGGCCATATTTCCAGCGTGTCCACGGACTGTTAAACTGCTCACCTTGTATTATTCAAGTTTAAAATACCAATGCTGACTGTGCCTCCAGTCTCTTACAACCACATGCTGCTCCTGCTGACTCGACAGCACTCTGTGCTCAACATCAGTGAGGTGAAACGTCTGTAATTGACTTCTGAACCAGTATAGACACATCAGTCCCCAACCAGACTTCGATGGGTAACACATCCTGCCATATAAAAGCTTTGTTTTTTTCGAATACACTCCAGAAGCATGGGAATGAAGTCTGTTTCCGCAGCTGCTTAAAGCTCTCATGTCATGGACTGAAGTTTTTCTCTGTTGGTTGGGTTTGATTCCATATGTGCTACTTGTATTACCTACAGTTTACTGATCTCCTGTGTTGACATTAAAGTGTTCAGACTGGGCCTGCATGTATCCTGTTTTATTTAATGGAAACTAGCTGTTGTAGGATGTGACTTGTTGCCTCCCTGAGCACTTACAGGGAAACTTTGGTATTTTTCACCCCAGCAATTTTTGACTGCAGCAGCAAAACAGGCTACAATGTAATCCCTATGGGGCAATTGTGCAACGTCCATTTATGTCCACTGAAAGTGCTTGTTTTTGCCACTGACAGGCTCAGATTGATATTGGAAGTGCCTGAAATTATGTTTTTCTTCACCTTCAGGTTGTGCGTTTGTTAGTTTGACCAAGTCTCACTCAAGAAGTGTTCTGAAATCTCGCAAGAGTTGACTTGTCGCAGGGAAAACAACAGTGGAAAGGTTAGTGAGAGTTGGAAAGAGAAGTGGCAGGAAGACTGTTGTGTTGGAGTACAGAAAGGGTAGCTTAGTGTTATCGAAAAGGTTTTCAATGTCATGGCTAAACTGAAACATTTTCCTTACCTGTTTGTTTGTGTAACCAAGTTTCACTCAAGAAGTCTCCCTCTGAAATCTCGCAGGCTTTTCCCACAATGTCTAAATTTGCTTAATATTCTGCCATGATGATAAATATTTCAGATAAAACGAAGCTAGGCTCTCTGTCACAACTTTAGAGATTTCAGAACAAGACTCCTCCTTGAGTGACACTAATACACAAAACAGACCGGAACAAGTGAAAGATAAGGAAAAACATTTAGCTTCTCTGCAGGGTCTTTGCCATAATGCTGTCAAACTCTTGTCACAACAATCTGAGCCTGTCAGTGGCAAAAACAAGCACTTAAAATTGATGTATACTGACGATGCATAATTGTCCATAGGAATTACATTGCAGTCTCATTCACCGTTGCAGCTGCATCGCTCTTAATACTGGACCGATTTTAAGAATTGTTTCCATTCATCACTTAGACTCAAGAACATGGGAAAGTTGGGTCCAAGTGAAAAAATACCACAGTTTCTCTTTAACAGTAAAGGAACATGGTCGATACACTTCTTATTTTAATCAACAGAAAACCTTTAAATGGCCTTCAACAAGAACAACGTTGACAATGAAATGGTAACACGTAGAACTGATGATGTTGTAATGTCTGAAATGATCAAACGCATCCCCGACACAGCGATCATTCCCATGCAGCTTGTAATGCATGCTGTAAAAGCACCACAGAGGCATCTCCACCTGTTCAGGCATCATCTCCGTCACATGACATAATAAACCATTTAAGTAAACAAATTGTCCTCAAACACGTAACACAGTACACTTTGGCAGCTGTCCTGAAGGATTTGGCCTTCCAACAAATTCAGAACACAGTTAAATATCACTCTGCTGCATCTTCAAGCAACTTCAAGCTGGTTTAAAAGCTCGTGTGATTTTAGTTTAAACCTGCTTTTTAAGACTTATTTAGCACTTAGTGTTTATTAGACAGATGCATGCTTCAAATGCTGTAAGTAGTTTCAAAGCCAATGGCTGTTCTTTTTTCTCTTTTTTAAGTATTATTTGGCTTAATTGTTGCTTTCTATGAATAAAAAATAATAGTTAAATCATTTCTGCAGTAGCACATCTCAATTACAAATACTACATCACACACTACACTGTCCTAAGACAGAAACAAACTCTCTGTTCTGATTATCTGTCGGGTATGGTCACTCAGAAAAAGGCATTTCATCCACATCAACGATCTTCCATCCATGTAGGGAGATATAACATTTGGCAGTTTCAGATTAATCAGCCTCCACCGCTAACAATATGCATCATTAATCAACCAACGCCATGACTACAGGCATCCACCCGCAAGTCAGGAGTGGTGAAATGTAGGACGAGAAGCCTTCACAACAGTGAGGTAAATTAAATCATGTGCAGTCACTGTTTTCAGCAGCTCCAGCTCATTTGTGACCCTTCCTGCTCTTGGTGGAGTTCATGTCACTCTTGGTCTTCTGTAAGCGGGAGAAGATCTCTTTGAACAGGGCTTTGTACTCCGGCGTGTTCTGGCTGAGCCGTTTGTCCACCTGCTCTACCTGCCTGCTGATCCCCTCCAGTGCCTCTGGGGTGGAGGGAGTTTGAGGGGGTGTGGGAGGGGTGGCGACGGCCCCTGATGTCGAAGGTCCCGCAGAGATCATGCTGTACTCCTTCATGGAGGGGTCCCTGGAGACAGGTCGCGAGGTCTGCACCTCAGCATGGCACAGGCTCTCCTCATGACGCCGGCACTTCCCCAGCAGCTCCTCATACTTCTCCAGCAGGGCGTGGTACTGCTCGTCCACCTCCCGCAGGATGGACATGCCACGTTTGCGCACACCATTAGCATGGAGGGCGTAGCTGCCCTGGCGCCTACCTGAGGCGTCACGGGCTGAGATGGCGTTCAGAGCTGTGTCGCTGCAGCTCTTCCTCACTGGGCCTCCCTGCTGCCCTGGTCCTCCTGCCTCACCTCCGTCACCTCCCTCCTCCAGCGCCACGCTCTCCTCTGGGGTGTCTGTCTCAGGGCCGTTGCTAAGCAGCGTCTCCAAGCCGTCCTCCATACCCCCGATCAGACACACCCTGGACTTCCTGAGCTGCTGCATCTCCTGGAGCTCAGCCTCCAGCTCCTGGACCCGCAGCTGGCAGCCCTCAGCTCCTAAAAGACGCTGTTCCAGACGCTCAAACTCCTGCAGCACAGCAGCACACTCCCGCTCAGCGCCCTCCCTCTGAGAGCGCTCTGTGGCCACAGCTGTGCGCAGGGAAGACACGATGTCTCTCAGGCGCTCATTCTCCTCATCTACTGGACGTCGTTCAGCCAGGTCCACACTGCCTGGGTTGGCCAAAAGGAAACCATCTTCATACCTGATGAAAGACAAGTATTACATCATCAGACTGAGATTTAAAGCAAAGTTTCATAAATACTTTATAACTACACAATCATACAATCAGTGAACCAACCAAAGGGATCATGAGATCGATCATAAATCATGACATCATATTAAGATTATAGATTATCCTATGACTTTTTAATAATTTTCTGTTTAGTATACAACACTATTAATTTTTATGAAATGACTTTTTTGTGACATTTTTGGATGTCATACTATACTATGACTTTTATTTATGATATTTTGGATGTCATACTATACTATGACTTTTATTTATGATATTTTGGATGTCATACTATACTATGACTTTTTTTTATGATATTTTGGATGTCATACTATACTATGACTTTTTTTTATGATATTTTGGATGTCATACTATACTATGACTTTTTTTTATGATATTTTGGATGTCATACTATACTATGACTTTTTTATGATATTTTGGATGTCATACTATACTATGACTTTTTTTTGATATTTTGGATGTCATACTATACTATGACTTTTTTATGATATTTTGGATGTCATACTATACTATGACTTTTTTATGATATTTTGGATGTCATACTATACTATGATTTTTTTATGATATTTTGGATGTCATACTATACTATGACTTTTTTATGATATTTTGGATGTCATACTATACTATGACTTTTTTATGATATTTTGGATGTCATACTATACTATGACTTTTTTATGATATTTTGGATGTCATACTATACTATGACTTTTTTATGATATTTTGGATGTCATACTATACTATGACTTTTTTATGATATTTTGGATGTCATACTATACTATGACTTTTTTATGATATTTTGGATGTCATACTATACTATGACTTTTTTATGATATTTTGGATGTCATACTATACTATGACTTTTTTATGATATTTTGGATGTCATACTATACTATGACTTTTTTATGATATTTTGGATGTCATACTATACTATGACTTTTTTATGATATTTTGGATGTCATACTATACTATGACTTTTTTATGATATTTTGGATGTCATACTATACTATGACTTTTTTATGATATTTTGGATGTCATACTATACTATGACTTTTTTATGATATTTTGGATGTCATACTATACTATGACTTTTTTATGATATTTTGGATGTCATACTATACTATGACTTTTTTATGATATTTTGGATGTCATACTATACTATGACTTTTTTATGATATTTTGGATGTCATACTATACTATGACTTTTTTATGATATTTTGGATGTCATACTATACTATGACTTTTTTATGATATTTTGGATGTCATACTATACTATGACTTTTTTATGATATTTTGGATGTCATACTATACTATGACTTTTTTATGATATTTTGGATGTCATACTATACTATGACTTTTTTATGATATTTTGGATGTCATACTATACTATGACTTTTTTATGATATTTTGGATGTCATACTATACTATGACTTTTTTATGATATTTTGGATGTCATACTATACTATGACTTTTTTATGATATTTTGGATGTCATACTATACTATGACTTTTTTATGATATTTTGGATGTCATACTATACTATGACTTTTTTATGATATTTTGGATGTCATACTATACTATGACTTTTTTATGATATTTTGGATGTCATACTATACTATGACTTTTTTATGATATTTTGGATGTCATACTATACTATGACTTTTTTATGATATTTTGGATGTCATACTATACTATGACTTTTTTATGATATTTTGGATGTCATACTATACTATGACTTTTTTATGATATTTTGGATGTCATACTATACTATGACTTTTTTATGATATTTTGGATGTCATACTATACTATGACTTTTTTATGATATTTTGGATGTCATACTATACTATGACTTTTTTATGATATTTTGGATGTCATACTATACTATGACTTTTTTATGATATTTTGGATGTCATACTATACTATGACTTTTTTATGATATTTTGGATGTCATACTATACTATGACTTTTTTATGATATTTTGGATGTCATACTATACTATGACTTTTTTATGATATTTTGGATGTCATACTATACTATGACTTTTTTATGATATTTTGGATGTCATACTATACTATGACTTTTTTATGATATTTTGGATGTCATACTATACTATGACTTTTTTATGATATTTTGGATGTCATACTATACTATGACTTTTTTATGATATTTTGGATGTCATACTATACTATGACTTTTTTATGATATTTTGGATGTCATACTATACTATGACTTTTTTATGATATTTTGGATGTCATACTATACTATGACTTTTTTATGATATTTTGGATGTCATACTATACTATGACTTTTTTATGATATTTTGGATGTCATACTATACTATGACTTTTTTATGATATTTTGGATGTCATACTATACTATGACTTTTTTATGATATTTTGGATGTCATACTATACTATGACTTTTTTATGATATTTTGGATGTCATACTATACTATGACTTTTTTATGATATTTTGGATGTCATACTATACTATGACTTTTTTATGATATTTTGGATGTCATACTATACTATGACTTTTTTATGATATTTTGGATGTCATACTATACTATGACTTTTTTATGATATTTTGGATGTCATACTATACTATGACTTTTTTATGATATTTTGGATGTCATACTATACTATGACTTTTTTATGATATTTTGGATGTCATACTATACTATGACTTTTTTATGATATTTTGGATGTCATACTATACTATGACTTTTTTATGATATTTTGGATGTCATACTATACTATGACTTTTTTATGATATTTTGGATGTCATACTATACTATGACTTTTTTATGATATTTTGGATGTCATACTATACTATGACTTTTTTATGATATTTTGGATGTCATACTATACTATGACTTTTTTATGATATTTTGGATGTCATACTATACTATGACTTTTTTATGATATTTTGGATGTCATACTATACTATGACTTTTTTATGATATTTTGGATGTCATACTATACTATGACTTTTTTATGATATTTTGGATGTCATACTATACTATGACTTTTTTATGATATTTTGGATGTCATACTATACTATGACTTTTTTATGATATTTTGGATGTCATACTATACTATGACTTTTTTATGATATTTTGGATGTCATACTATACTATGACTTTTTTATGATATTTTGGATGTCATACTATACTATGACTTTTTTATGATATTTTGGATGTCATACTATACTATGACTTTTTTATGATATTTTGGATGTCATACTATACTATGACTTTTTTATGATATTTTGGATGTCATACTATACTATGACTTTTTTATGATATTTTGGATGTCATACTATACTATGACTTTTTTATGATATTTTGGATGTCATACTATACTATGACTTTTTTATGATATTTTGGATGTCATACTATACTATGACTTTTTTATGATATTTTGGATGTCATACTATACTATGACTTTTTTATGATATTTTGGATGTCATACTATACTATGACTTTTTTATGATATTTTGGATGTCATACTATACTATGACTTTTTTATGATATTTTGGATGTCATACTATACTATGACTTTTTTATGATATTTTGGATGTCATACTATACTATGACTTTTTTATGATATTTTGGATGTCATACTATACTATGACTTTTTTATGATATTTTGGATGTCATACTATACTATGACTTTTTTATGATATTTTGGATGTCATACTATACTATGACTTTTTTATGATATTTTGGATGTCATACTATACTATGACTTTTTTATGATATTTTGGATGTCATACTATACTATGACTTTTTTATGATATTTTGGATGTCATACTATACTATGACTTTTTTATGATATTTTGGATGTCATACTATACTATGACTTTTTTATGATATTTTGGATGTCATACTATACTATGACTTTTTTATGATATTTTGGATGTCATACTATTTTTCGTAAATGTTACATTTTGACTTCTTATATTACATTTTTATGACATATTATAAATTTGATGATACAATAACTTTTATAGTAAAGTAATATGTCAAAACTATATTTGACTACATTTTGGCAAAATATGTAAATATGATTTCTGGCTTTGCAGACGTGTGCAGTCTGATAATTACTGGAGAATCATTTTAATCAACCCATCATCTATGCTGCAGAAGCCTCACTTCATATGTATTGCATGCAGTAAGCATTACTAACATACTGATCTGTGTGAACAAAGTGCTTTTTTGTACATGTATATTGTCCATTAGAAAATAAAATTCTGACAGTTAGTGACCTTGGTGCGGTGCAGAGTTCTTTGAGGCAGGGGAAGGAGTGCACAGTCTTGCGGCGTTCCTTCTTCTCTCTACGGACCCTCAGCTCCTCCAGAGTTCTTAGCTCCTCCACCCGAGTTGTAAGGCTGTCAACCTGACTCTGCAAGGTCTCCATGGTGCCCTCCAACCTGTGCACACACAAATGTTTTTTCAGTGCTGCTTGTCATTATTATGGTGATGTAATTCTCTGTTTGATTAGCATACCATTATCCTAAAGCTGCAGTGAGCCACTGTTACAACATAAAGAATGTGAAGGAGCATACTCAGAGAGAACAGAGGCAGCCATTGAAATCGTTAGTATTAAGGCCACTAGTATGATTTGTAAGTGCTTTAATCCCTGATCATGATTATGAAATTGTTTAAGAGAGCAAAAATGTTAAGTCCACTAAAGTTGCCCTATTATTTCCTGATGTGTGACATCACTCTTGTTACAGAAATGTATGGTCACCTGTCTATTTTCTGCTGCGAGGCCTTGCTCTCCAGCACCAGTTTCTCGTTGGTGATCTCCAGCTCTCTGGCAGTCACATCCAGCTGTTCGTACACCTTTGCATGCTGCTCGTTCATCTCCCTCAACATATCCAGCTGCTTGGAGAGGTGCTGCAGGGAGACAAGTTCAGCAATTAAATGAGTGGAACAGCAGTTCATCCAACGCATTGATATGTCAGCTTTATGTCATTTTGATGGCATACTAAGCTATGACTTTTTATATAGCTTTTTTTTTAACACACTTGTGACCACTTGTACAGTGTAAATTTAATGACACCTATCTCTTGTTTCTGTGGACGCTGAATGCACTTCTTTTAAGCCATGTTGGACTCAACCAAACAAATGCATTGTGATGTGTTTGGCAGCAAGTCTAAAAGACACTGATGTGACACACAGCAGACATTTGCACTTGTCTGAAACACACTCATGACAGTAACAGTATTTTTTTGTTTGATGTGATTCACTCAGAGTTGTGTTCTGTGTCTGTATCTGAGTACACTTATCCTCAGCCAAACTTCTGACTAATAAGGACTCGGGTCCTTTCATGTTCACAGAACAAACACTTCTGGTTCTTTTTGCTGTTTTTTTTTTTCTTTCCCAGTGCTCCGATAATTAGCTTGCAGAGAACAATATGTGGGACAAGCGTACCTCTATCTCTTGCACTTGCTCCTCATTGTTGATGTACATCTGTTGTAGGGAGTCCTCCAGCTCCTTGTTGCGTTCCAGGAGGGTCTTGCCGAGTTCGGCTGCCAAGTGCAGGTCTGACGGGAGCCAGGAAAGCAGAACAGACATAAACAGCAGAAAGTGGTGGATTAAACGAAGTGTCCAACTTCTTTTAAAGGATTTGAACAAGTGATTTGAAGAGAAGCTTTCACTGCAGCTGAGGCACCCTCCCTGATCAGACTACCTTGATTTAATGATGAATTTAAGATGGGGAAACATAACATCCTGTCCTTGATTAAAACCTCTGAGGTTTCTAAAATACTGATTTTTCTGACAAGTTGTGTTCATGAAAGCTAACTGACACAAACCTGTAGCCATCTGCACACCAGGGGGTTCTGAACACTGATACCAGTGCAGACACCACCCTCACAGTCACTGTGTTTTTACAACACAGCTTGAAACATACATTATTCATCTCCTCTGCTGAAAAAAAGCCTAGCTGGGCTGAGGAGGAGGAAGAGGAGGAGGAGAAGAATCCTGCTGGCTCTGCATACTTGGAGCGCCTAACAACACAGCAGTGGAGGAGTGGAGAGACGGGAAGACACAGAGGGAGCCATTGACACCCATTACTGGACATGAATGCAGTGTTTTATCACCACAGCGCTGGGCGTGAGCGATGACAAGAACACACACACGTGCGACACTGTAGGTGTGAAACACAAGAGATTGGATGTAGTTTACTGAGTTACTGTATGCCTGAATGCACCTGGAATCCCTCTGTTTAATCTTGTATACTTTAAGGGACATTTTACCCTAAAATCAAAAGTACATATTTTTCCTTTTAACTGTAGTGCTATTCCTCAATCTAGATTGTTTTTGTGTTGTCGCTGCATATGTATGCAGAATCTGGAGGCAACACGACAAGATTGTGGTTTTGAAAGTGTTCTGCTTTTTATTTGTAGTCTGTTTGTAGAGTAGTGTTGACAATCACATTTGAACGCCAGGTGCTGGAGCCTATCCCAGCTGACATTGGGTGAGAGGCGGGGTACACCCTGGACAGGTCACCAGACTATCACAGGGCTGACACATAGAGACAGACAACCATTCACACTCACATTCACACCTACGGACAATTTAGAGTCACCAATTAACCTGCATGTCTTTGGACTGTGGGAGGAAGCAGGAGTACCCGGAGAAAACCCACGCTGACACGGGGAGAACATGTAAACTCTGCACAGAAGGGCTCCTCCACCCTGGGTTCAAACAACGAACCCTCTTGCTGTCAGGTGACAATGCTAACCAGTGCACCACCGTGCCGCCCGCCATGTAAATCCAATGTACTGGATCAGCCCGAAAGATTGAAGTAGGTGTAGCTGTGGCTGGACTTGCCCACCATACTTACGTGATGGGTCCAGAAGCCGAAGTTAGCACCTAGCAATGAATTGTTAGCTTAAGAGAAGCAGTTAAATTTAAGGTTAAGGAAAGGGTAAGGGTTACATCTCGGTATTATAAGGTGAATCATGTCTTCGTATAATGAATAACATAAATGAATAAAGTAATGTATTGCCACGTCTGGCCGGATATATTTATTTACTACAACGTTGCATTGTGGCAGGGTTCAAATAAGTTACCACTGCATTGGTGCGTTTGTCTTGTACTGGTTTGTAGGAGCGTGTCATGGAATGTATAAACGGGATGTAGCTGCAGCTATATGTTGTGAAATATTGGCCCTTGCCCCCAAAGGCTTATTGTCATCTCACCAATTGCAATCTACACTGATGAACAGCACTACAGGTAAGAGGAAAAATATGTGCTTTTAATTTCTGGGTGAACTGTTCCTTTAACAGGCATCATCAGCTTACATGCATAGGTAGTTACATTTGCCTCCAATGCTGCGGAGGGAGGCAGGGACAGGCTGTAACTTCCTGTTTCAACAAAGCAGAACTGATAAGAGAACACTGGTGAGTGATAATGAGCTGAGAGTGTGTGAGGAGAGAGCACAGCGAGGCCTTCAGCCCCCGAGGTCCAACTCAGTCACAGCGCTGCTTTTGCTCCAGAGGGTCGACACGTGCCGGGTCTTAGTTATGTAATTTCAGAATTGTGCACCCGTATGAGAGAAGCAAGAGGCTGTGCTGAGGAAATACCAACCACCACAAATCTAATGGCTGTCACAGTGATGACATCTATCCAAAACTGCCCTCACGTTCACTCGCATGACGACAAAAACATAACATCACCACACCACCATCTGCCCAGACAGACTTCATATGTTTGCCAGATCATAATGGACACAGGGGTCACCAAATCTCAGAGCTGGCAGACCAGAAGTTGCATAACAGCAGCATTTCTGGGGCAAAATCATGAGCGCATGCAGGATGGTGTGTGTGTGAAGCCTCCGATCTGACCCCAAAGCCTAGAATCTCTGATCCCCACTAAGGAGGTCTGGTCTGGGGCTCCCTAATCAGATCAGCGAGGGGCTTAATGACTTCAAGCTCCATGCGGAATAATGCTGAGATGAGATACAGACTGCATGGCGACACGCGCATAAATACTATACACACACACAGCAGAATCCACCTGCCTCTGCGTACAATGCGATGATGAGACGCAAAGCTGCTTTAGCTCTCTGGGTCAGCAGGTAATCAGGGGATGGGGTGATGCTGAGGCGAGCAGAGGGACACACTCGCCAGGACGCACATCTCTGCTCTGAGACACACTGTCGATGAAAGTGCATCCATTTAACTGGACACACACTGCTGCATCTCATTATGCAAATGTAAAAAGGCAACACCTCTGATAGATTTCCTGCCTTCCATGTTCATTTAAGGTCACAGGCACGACTGGACATGAAGATTACAAGACAATGGGCCCCTGGGCATGGATATGCAAATGGCCCCACCTTCAGTTTAGTTTCATTTATTTCACTCATTTTCCGACTTGTAAAACTGAAATATACTGGTAGATGGACAATACATAAACATTAAGTTAAAGCTTTTTGAGCATCCATCCATTTTCATCGGCTTATCCAAGGCTGGGTCGTGTGGGCAGCAGGCCAAGCAAAGCACCCCAGACGTCCCTCTCCTCTCCTGGAGGACCAAGGAGTTTCCAGGCCAGATAAGATATGTAATCCCTCCAGCGTGTTCTGGGTCTGCCATGGGGCCTCCTACCAGTGGGACGTGCCCAAAACACAACGGGAGGCTCCCAGGAGGCATCCTTGTCAGATGCCCGAACCACCTCAACTGACCCCTTTTGTCGCCAAGGAGCAGCGGCTCTACTCCGAGCTCCCTCCAGATGTCCGAGCTCCTTACCCTATCTCTAAGGCTGAGCCCAGCCACCCCACAGAGGAAACTCATTTCAGCCGCTTGTATCCACGATCTCATTCTTTCGGTCACTACCCAGAGCTCATGACCATAGGTGAGGGTTGGGACGTAAATGGACCAGTAAATCAAAAGCTTTGCCTTCCAGCTCAGCTCCCTCTTCACCACGACAAACCGGCGCAGTACCTGCATCAATGCAGAAGCCACCCCAAACCGCCGATCCATCTCACACTCCATTCTACCCTCACTCGTGAACAAGACCCCGAGATACTTGAACTCCCTCACTTGAGGCAGTAACTCTCTCCCAACCCAGAGGGGGCCATGCACCTGTTTCCGGCAGAGAACCCTGGCCACTGATTTGGAGGTGCTGACTTTCATCCCGACTGCTTCACACTCGGCTGCAAACCGCTCCAGTGCATGCTGGAGGTCATGGTGACAACACAAAACAAAACAGGAGCCACAAAGATGCAGGCTGAAGCCTTAGCTTATTACACCTACCCTTTTAACATTCATTGTTTATAGGCCCAAATATCCCAACACATATCATGTAGCCTCTGGTGTTCATACTTCAGTTTCATATTTGTTAATCATCTTGCTTTCTAACTATCAACATGGGTTTAGTAGTAGTCGATCTACATTCTCTGACAATCTCTTATTGGAAATGACTTCCAGATATAGTCTGCTAACACGCTGTTGTTTGCTTTGTACATTAGCGACGCTATTTTAAAATCCACAAGTTCACTAAATTTGAGTGCCTGTGATATTTATGAATAATTTATTCGTCGTTTTGCGATAATCGGCTCTGTTAATGACTCTGATGGCTCTCTCCTGAAGCAAGGAAATCAGATTTGGGATTGTTTTATATGTTTTTCCCCAGAATTTACATGAAAGTATCAAAAGAATGGTCCACTATATGTCATGAATTTGAGTCAAGAATGCCTTTTGCTTTATTCAATATTGCGATGGACTTTGATATTTTGGTTTTTTATATGTTCTCCTATACTCTTTCTATCTCAATATCATCTATCAGAATTTGTACTTGCTCCTACATTGGAGCATAACACACACTTTGAGGGTGTTTTGCCTCTTTTTAATCATCATTTGCATTTTTCTGTAGTTGTAATGCATCTGTTTGTGGTTTTGCATCTCCTCGTGGTCATTTCGAGTCTCCTCCTGATCAGTATGTGTTAATTTGAGTAAAATTTCCCAGTTACAGGACAAGGTTTGGCCTGGACAGTAATCTAATCATGCTGCTGGCCTGTTTCCAGGTGTCACACAATCGATCATTGCTTCAACATTTCTGCATTTTCCCCACACACACGCACACCATGAATAATGCCACACATCCTCACAGATGCTTTCACATCCCTCTGAATACAGTGTTGATGGATTAAATAAAGAAAAGCCAGGAGGAGAGGAGTGCTGGGATGTAAGATGTGACCCTGCAGATGAAACAGAGGCAACATTCACTCAGTCAGACAGCAGGACTATTCTGGGAAACATCACTGACAAGATCACAATAATTGGCAGAGGAGGGGAGACACAGAGACAGACACATACATGCTTTACTGTCTTCATAGTGCGCGCACTCGTGCATGAAATGTGCTTTACAGTGGATGCAACCTCCTCCCTGCGTTTCCATCCATCCACCCCCTCCTGCATGAATCCGTTCATCCCAAACGCCAACACCAGTGACTGTGACGGGGCATTGTTACATCCACACACACACACACACACACACACACACTCACACACACACACAACCCTTACACAGGAGGACTGATGTCTCACCTTGCTCCAGGTCCCGCTGGTCGTACCACGGCTCCTCTTCCTCCGTCACAAACTCCTCCATCCTTCCTGCACGGAGCATCGATGCTGATGAACTTCTCCTCTTCCTCCTCACCGGTGATGTGCTCTGCTAATTCACGGACGGCTCCCCCGGAAGTGACAGCAAACAACAGCCTCCCCCCAAGTGTGTAACCTTCTGAGATAAATGCCTTGGAGAGAAAATCCCGGCAGGCAGCGCACCTGCTCCTTCTTCTTCTTCTTGAATCGTCTGCTGCCACAATCCAAACTACTTCCGGTCGTTCACACCTGCAGGGCCGGGATAAAACAGTCCGTGCAGCAGCTGGTGGAGGTGGAGAGTGTTCCAGTGTGTCTTGTGTTGGTCTCATCAGTGTTTGATGTGCAGCAGCAGCACGGCCTTGCAGACGCAGGTTGGCAGCTCGCTCGCTGCTCAGTGGCTGAACGCTGCTGCTGCATTCAAGTGCTGTCGGAAATGCGTTTTCAGATGTGGGCATTTCAACTTCTAATCCTCCTGCTGCAGCCCGGCAGAAATATTTCAATACTGCTTTGACTCCATCATGAAGCAAGCTTATTTTAAGCTGAAATTTGACATTAATGTCATATTATTTTCATATCCAGCTGTTTGCAAGCCACAAAGTGAACTAGGCTACATCCACACACTAGATGCCCTATAGTCTACACCATAGTTTTAAGGTGCAGAAATTTAACCTCCTGAGACCGCACTTTTGTTTGGTATGCATTTTTAATTTCTCCTAGCTAAATGGGATCAGCAGGACCTTCATTCATTCATTCATTCATTCATTCATTCATTCATTTCTTATAACCACATCCTGTTAGGGGTTGCTGGAGCCTATCCCAGCTGACATTGGGTGAGAGGCGGGGTACACCCTGGACAGGTCACCAGACTATCACAGGGCTGACACATAGAGACAGACAACCATTCACACTCACATTCACACCTACGGACAATTTAGAGTCACCAATTAACCTGCATGTCTTTGGACTGTGGGAGGAAGCTGGAGCACCTGGAGAAAACCCACGCTGACACGGGGAGAACTTCAACTCAGCACAGAAGAGCAGCTCCACCCAGGGTTCGAACCCCCAACCTGGATTCGAACCGGAGGCAACAATACTAACCCCTGCACCAATGTGCTGTCCTGATTAGTATCTCAGTAGGACCTGATTAGAATAAAAACAACTAGACATTGTCAATGATGATAAAGTCCCAGTGTCCTCAAATGAGTACTTCCTAATTAACAGTATCTTAGCTTGTTGCTGTTACTAAAATTAGTCACATTTGTATTCCATATCAAACTACAGTGGTTAGCATTGTCGCCTCTCAGCAAGATGGTTCATGGTTCAAACCCTCCTGTGCAGAGTTTGCATGTTCTCCCCGTGTCAGTGTGGGTTTCCTCTACTCCAGCTTCCTCCCACAGTCCAAAGACATGCAGGTTAATTGGTGACTCTAAATTGTCCGTAGGTGTGAATGAGAGTGTGAATGGTTGTCTGTCTCTATGTGTCAGCCCTGTGATAGTCTGGTGACCTGTCCAGGGTGTACCCTGCCTCTAACCCAATGTCAGCTGGGATAGGCTCCAGCCCCTCGTGACCCTTAACAGGATAGGCTGTTATGGAAAATGTATGAATGGATGAATGAACATTACTACCAGGTGCTGGGCTAGCTACCCATCCACAAACATTAACATTAAACTGCTCATTCTGTGTTTCTACTGCTTTTAATCATCAAGCCTGTTTGTTTTAATGAGGAGGGGACCTCTGCAAATATTCAGCTCCTGGTAAAAACCTCTTGAACAATGAATACTGACAGAATCCCAAAAAGGAGCTCCTGCTTGGCACATAGGAAAGGTTTGAGCTGCTTGCTATCTGCAATCTTCACAGCAAGATGCTACTTGATCCTGGCCTGGCTCCTCTCAGGATCTGTAAAATACAGCTTTTTAATGCTAGAAGACTAATCCAATACCACACAACAAATATGGGGCCAGGTAAACATGTATGTTTAGGAATATGCAACATAGTGCTTGACCCACTCCGTGACATGCTGGTCAGGTACAGGAGAACATCCAGTGCAAGACGCATTCCTCTGAAATGCATCACAGAGTGCCACAGGAAGTCATTTCTGCCTGTGACCATCAAATTTTTAACTCTTCCCTTGGAGTGTCTGACAGTAGATTCTGGCCCTTGGACTTATTATTTAACCCGTCACAGAGCTTTACAGCATACAACACCCCTCTGTCCTCAGATCCTCACAGTGGATAAGGAAAAACTCCTCAAATAAAAACCTTTAATGGGGAAAAAGGTAGAAACCTCAGGAGGAGCACCTGAGGAGGGATCCCTCTTCCAGAACGGACAGAGGTGCAATAGATGACATATGAGAGATGTAAGAGAGGTGTACGGCAAATAGTAATGACGACAGCATTAATTTGGTAATAATATTGTAGTAATAATGATATTTTGGTCATTACAGTCAGAAGTTGAAATTAACCCTTACATGGAACACCACAGACTCTACTGCCATGTTTTCCTTATTAAATGTAAAGATTTTTTACTCTGAACATCACTACTTTTCTATTGAAATGAATGTAGGACATTAAAAGCCCTAAGTTACAGTGGGCACCTGAATGCAGCACAGTGAAGGTGACGTCACCGTCTATTTGACAGCGTCCCCGGCACGGACATCTCCTCCCTCCCTTCCTCCCGCTCCTTCCCCCTTAAGTCTAATTGTCCACTTGAAGACATGAGCATAGATGAATTAACACACTGTCGTTAGTCTGTTTCTGTTCAGCACTGACTTTATTGTAAACATTTAGGAGCAGAGAGTACACACACCACGGCTGCTCACACACACACAGCCGGGCCTCTGTGTCCATCCGTGCCTCCAGGACTCTTTGGGCTTCCTTCTGAATGCTGAGACACAAACTGTGGCCTCTCACAGACGGACAGGCACTATGACTAAACAACATGTCGCTCAGTGGAAACCATGTCGCTAAAAAAGAAAAACATCCTGCAGAAATGATCCCTTTGCTACAAGACATAATAACCGAAGATAAAACTGAATCCATCTTTAAATAAAACATTAACAGGACAGTATCACATCATACAGTATCCATACTTCCATGTACTCTGTTCTTTGTTCTGCAGACAGCAGCCAAAGACAAAGTATGTAGCAGCAGTAAAATATCTACGAGGCCTCCACAACACACACCTGCCTGGTTTGTGTCAAATATGAAAATATTTTTCTTTGTTCCTCAATGTTCTGTCCGCATTTACATCAAATGGTGTCACCTTTACATTACTGATGACCACTATGTGTTTCTAGCAATGCTAGCCGTCTGCTGCACCATCCACCACTTTGGTCCGGACTGAGTGTCTTACATGGTCTCCAGAGGATGAACCCGAATGACTCAAATTCTCTGACTTTACATATCTTTTCATGATATGACCAAACACCTGCAAAACTAATAACATCCTTGTCATCATCAACTGTACTCCGACAAACAGCATTTAGTGTTAATAAGCAAATGTTACCTGCCAAACAGCACCATCGACTATGTTTACATGCACACTAATATTCCGAATTTGTTACATCATGTCAACAGCATATTCTGAATTACGTCTCATTCCGAATGACGCATTTTCAGATTAAGATGTGACACATATGCTGATATTATTCAAGTTTTAGGAGCATTCTTTGGACATGTGTACAGCGTATACAGAGTATGCATCTCAACACGGGTTTTTACAGCAGTTTCCTGTTAAGCTCTGTGCGTTGTCATGGATACACTGTACACAAATCAACTCGTGAACACTCTGCAAGGCTGTGGGGGTCGAGATGCATGCCCAAAAGAAAAGCCCACATTTCTTGTCACAAGGAGAAATACGCCTACTTTTATACATCATGACAGACTTGGATATAAACAGGTCCAGGATAACAAAATGACAAGCAGCTCCTATCATTCCACTTTTCCATATTTTGTAGTGATAAACATGTTTGGGGCATGTTAAACAGAGTATACATATAAATGCCATGTAAACAGCTCAGAAGGAATATTGTCTTTTTCAGAAAATGGGAAAAAAAAATTGAACATTTTGTGCATGTAAACGTAGCCATTATGAGCATGTTAGCATTTAGCATTTAGCTCCAAGCACCACTGTGTCTGAGTACAGCCTCACAGAGCTGCTAGCATGGCTGCAGCCTCTTAGGATGTGACTCAATTCTTGTTCTTCTGTAGTTGCCCTTGCTATTTTAAATGCATAAGTGCATTCACAATGACACTGAGTACCTGGGTGGTGTACACGTAACGGTCAAAATGTAAAGGGTGGAACGCTGGACACTCCTCACCCTCAATGGGCGCCATCTTGGCTACATAGCGAAAGTAGAGAGACCCACAAAGTGTGAAAAGGGCAGACGAGGTAGCTGCAGTGATTGTGGTCGCTCCACTGAACAAGCAAATAAGCCAGCAGGTATTTTGGCAGGTGACAACTGTGGTAAAATGTTGGCAGTAACGCTCCATCCAGTTGCAATTTGCCAACCAAAAGAAGTGGTCAAATGTTGCAACCGTACAACAGCCGTGTTAGATTTGAGACAACACTAAATTCCCACACTACGCAAGTGAGTACATAGAGTACACAGCGCACTACATGTAAGTGTACTTACTGAAGTATCTGAATTGAGACACAGCATCAGTCTCGCTAATTTAAAGAGGCCTTTAGTTTCCATTCATTTCGGCTTAGTATGCAAATCAACTTGCAGACTTGAAACATGTTTACTGGAGAGTTAAGTGCAGACAAACTTAAAAAAGAGTGCAGCACCACTTAAGTGCCATACTGTAGTGAAAAGAATGAAGGCCAACGGCTGCCTGTAGAGAACTAATTTAAAATCACATACATTGGTCATCAGAAATGTAAAGTGTACACAGTTTTCAGTTAGTGGGCTGAAACATAAACAACACTTGTCCTATCAGTATGCACACAGTTTTACTTCTGCTCTCTCAGGCTGTAACAGCCCACACGTTATTGCTTCATTATTGACATAAGCTTCTGCAGCAGCAACGAGCCCAAAAAAAAAGCACAACTCTAGCAGCAAATCAACTCTAAACCAGGTCAGCAGACGTCTGTGGTGAAGCCTGAGGTCACTGGGACAAGAGAAGCTTAGGCACTGACAAAGAGGAAGGGTTCGACCCTAAGAATGGCTACATTTCCACTTCCCATCATTCCTTGTTCTCTGTGGTTTTACAGCTGTGCGGCCTTTTAAGGTGCTTCCAGTCGGCCTCGCTCTCACAGCGCTGGACGCCGCTGAAGAACTTCTTGATGAGAGCTCTGGCTTCTGCTTTGACTGTAGACACAGAGACAAGCGTTAGAGATGAGCACAACTTTTAGATGAGAGGGCCCTTGCACCAAACTTAAGGGTGC